GTGTGCACCAGAGTGCTACTGGGAATGCAGGGTGAAATGTCAAGAAGTTGTGTGTAAATCTTCAAGTAATCTGTCATGTCCAGGAGGGACTGGGGGAAAGGGACAGATCTTTTGGAATACTGGAGGATTATCAAAGCTAGAGTTTTGCTACTTGGATTTGGAGATCTCTCCCTACCGAATGGGTGCATCTGGAGTCTAAAAGAAGACACCAGAAAGGAAAATACCTGCCATTATAAATACACACACCAAGGCAAATAAGCCTAGCATCAAGCACCACATGGAGGATCTCTGGGTTATCAAGCTGCTTAGGCTAAAACCCCGTAAGAGTTTGGGTGAAGTGTATAGGCAGGTACAGGTGTGTATGTAGTGAGAATACTGCAGAGGACCCCCTCCCCAAGGCTGGGGAACACTGCCTCAAGTAAGACAGCTTGCCAGCCCTGCCTAAAACAGGGTGTTAATTCTTTTTCCTTTGACCCCAGCTGGTCTCTAGCCTTCACTACTAACACTAGCAGAAGGTGTCAGTTTGGCCAAATTATAAAAATTATTTGTTAATAAATTTTGCATGTTTATTGCTCCTTCATTGGAATTCTTAAATGTTTTGCTAAACATATAATCTTGTTCGTAAAACAAACAAACAAACAAAAAAAAGCCAGTTCTCACTATTTTTTTTTTTTTTTTAAAATTACCTAGCTGGATTGATTTATGTTCCTTATTACAGTAATAACCCATCTGTTACAGGGTTAGGTCAATTAATAAAATTATAAATCTGGGAATTTGTGCAGAGTCATTATTTGGTAGCAAAAAAGCAGCGTGGAGGAACAATGGCATGGTAACACCAAGATTATTGCATCTTTTACTTTTTCTTGCACAAAGCGGTATAGACCCATGATGTTCAATGTCAACAGAGTTCTTCACATACACACCTTTTTGTTTGCATGCATCTGTCATCCCCGCTGAGTACAACAGTAATGACATTGTGATTTTTTTATTTTAATTGATTATTGAATAATGCAAGTATTTTTGTGGGGGTCTGTCTTACAAGACCTGTTTGTATGCTTATAACCTGATACCACAGTGAGATTTCAAATGAGGATATATTAATGTGCATTACAAGCGTGTGATTGCTTGTATCGTTATGAAATAGATGAGAAATTAATTCACTGCAGTGGTTTTTACCTGAACTGATCAAAACATCTTCCAATAATTTTTCTAATAATTTGTGATTGGAATAACAGCTTCACATGTTGTAGGGTTCCATGCTGCAACCGAGAGGCATATAAATACAAGCTGCTTATTTGCAAGAAGCTTCCAGATTTGCAATATGATTGCTATGGAAACCACACAATGAAAACCTTATAACCATCTGTGTGGTTTGGTAGATTTTGCTGCATAGCTGAGCTGTTTTTGTTTACTGTTACTGAAGTGTTGAATAGAATATATTAACCCATAAACTGGGATTATCCAAAGTATAAACTAGTATTGTGCAATAACTATGTGTCAGAAAAGGCAGTAGAATACCAATTAATAATGCCATTAAATTAGAGTTTAATGTAAAAAGATGGTTAAGTAATGTGTTAGTAGAGGACATTGCTAAGTTTATGCATATTTATCGTGGGGATACCACATTCCATTGAAGGAATGCACTGTTCAAGCCAAATTCTTACCTATTTTATACTGAAGTAGTCTGATTTTTTTTTTTTTTCCCCCCCCTCCCCCTTTAAGGAAAAGAAATTGGAAGGAAAAAATCAATGGATTAATGTAAAAAACTCGGCTAGTGTAGAATTAATTGTTCACTTTTAAAATTGTGGGGATGGTAGAATCATCTATGACTGGGTGATTATTTTTCTGTTTTTTCTTCAGACTGCAAATTAAATACGTAAATTATTTTCAACAACTTTCATGGACTAACTGAAAAAATCCCTTAACAGACACAGTTAGTTCCTTGTTGCATTGTCACCACAAGAATTTTGTAGGTTGTGTGCCGTTAAGAGTCTCTGAGTGCCAGCAGAATATAGATCATAAGCTGTATCCCAAGGGTTCTTTGGATCTACAGCTCTGGAGGAGTTCACTGGTTTGATTAGCATTGATTAGTCTCATTTTGGTGTAGTGAGAAGGTAGAGAAGAGTATTTCTCTCACTGCAGTGGTAGTGATGGTGTGAAGAGATACAGAGGAAACGTAGCAGATTATTTTAAAGGTCTGCATGACTCTCTTACACAGTATCTTAATAATACAGATGGACTTCTACTGTATTTTTTTATTTTAATTTTTTTCATCCTTTGTCTCTGTTCCATGTTGCAACACAAGCTTTACTAGTTGCATCTGACTACAGCTGTAATTCCTGGGGTAACTGAGGTTGCTTTGTTTAAAGGACATCTCCTGCACATAGTTATTGCTTCAGGACATAACACCAGAAAACACTATTAAGAACCATAGGTTCTTTTTTACTGCCCTAAGCCAAGCCTGTTACATCTGCTCGACTGTAAGCATGATTGCATTAGCTAGTAGTGTGGACCATTTGCAACAGATTATAAAGCACAAGCTGAGGACCTGATGTTCGTGCTGTGCGTGTTTCAGAAGAGGTTTCCAATGGAGTCACTTTAGTCTGGTTCCATGGACTGAATGACCATTAGCAGCTGGACCATGGTCCATATGCTTCTGGAGTGCCTCTTCCAATCTAATTGCACCTGAAACTTTGTCCTCTCTGTGACAACTCTGTGGTGTAAAGTGAAGTGGGGTAAGTGGGGATGGTTGGGTTCCAAACCTGTGTGCTAATACGGACAGCCTTTGAATTTGGGACCTTTTCTGTATTCAAAGAGCCTTCGTTCAGACATTTTTTTCATGTTCAAATACAGATCTGGTGAACTCCTGTTTCTAGGAAATAGGTTTTTCAGGAAGGGGAATGCATATGTTCTAAACTTTTCCATTAAACCACAATGTGATCTACATGTATTCAACTGTACCTTGTGAAAAAATCTCTTCAAACTTCCTCTGCTGTTTTACTTCAGTTGAAATACCCTCTACTAAAGCGAGTCCTCAGTTTAAGCTAGTCTGATGACCATGACAGTGATAGAGTTAAAATCCACAGTACTTTCAACACTGCAGTTGATGTAGGTCCAAACATTCAGTAACATGTAATATCAACATTTATTTAATCAATGTATAATACTGTGTGTTGGATGAAACTGGGTTGGTTCTGGGAAAAGGGAGCAAACCTAGAAAATGTGACTGATAATGGGATAATGTTACCTGCGAGTGGTGTAGTAGTGGTGGGAAGCCACAGAATGACAGTGCCTCCTAGTGCTCCGGACAGCGCATCGGAATGCATTTTTGCCATTTATGCATCAATTGTGAGTGCTTAAAATAAACAAATGAGTGTTCTTGGAAATGTGCAACAAGCCTTATGCCAAGTTGGGGGAATAAATTTGAATGCAGTAAATAGTTTGAAGTGTTTTGTGTTGTGCCGCTGCTTCAGATTTTCCCTGTTCTATTGGGGTTTTTTTGTTTTTTTCCTTTGGCTCAAATAATCATCTATATTCATCTCAAACAGACTTTCAGCTAGTCAGGAGTCAGGCAGCAAAAAACTTCGCGCTGGCTTGGTAGGGCAGAAGTTCAAAACTCTTTGTAGAGTGAATCTCATGATGTAATTGTAATATTTGTAGGACTGCGTATATAGGTTAGCAGCAATTATGCATACTCATTTCAACAGGTCTACTCTTGTGCTTTAAACATCTGCTTTTATGTCTGCAGGAACAGTCTTGTGGATAGATCAAATTTTTACAAGGCTAAAAATCCTTTGAACTGTTGATATCAAATTCACTCTTTGTCAAAGTAGATAGGCAATTACATAAAAGTTGCACAATAAGGACCCTTTTAAAAGCTATGAGTTCTGTATCTGTCGTCTGTCATTAATAACATATCAAAATTAGTTGCTGAAATGTGTGCCTTAAAAAGAAGCATGAATATCTGTATAAGATGTGATGAGTAGCAAACCCAAATACTATAAATGTGTTAAAAGTCCAATTCTTGTTTGAGAAGTGGGTTTATCAATATACTTTCCTCACGCAGTATAGCAGCTTTGCCAGTTTTGATAGACTCTAAAAGCCAAGCTAAATCTGTTTCTGCTTCCTTATGAACCTAAAGAAAGAATACCCTCACATTTTGCCTCATCAACAGAATTGTTGACTCTGAAATGTGAGGAGCAGATATTATGTCCCTGTCCTGAGTGGAGCGTGGCTTTACTTAAGTGAGGGTGTGGGCATGAGAGAGTTCCCTGTCTGTGCTGGGCAAGGAGTATGGAGCACATCTTTTGGAACTGCCTGTGGGGATTTCAGAGTTTTCCAAGCCTGCTAGCCAGAAAACATGCTTCAGAGCTGATCACTGCCAGGCTTTCTCTTTTCTTGTCTCCTAAACTTGCACTGAATTATTTGATACAGTCTGGCTTGCTTAAAACCATGGTCAGGCACAGTAGGCAGGAGCACTGAATGCATAGCATCTGTAATGGCTGCATTCCCATCATGCAGGTGTCCAGCTAGTGTGTCTGTCTGACAGTGTTGAAAGTAAGATGTCCTCTGCCTTCTACACATACTTCTCTTAAGAACTTCTAAATTCTTGCATGGGCTGGGGATCCCTTTTCAATCCTCGGTTTCCTTTTCTTTATCCTGGCAAGAAATGTACGTAGCAGAACAGGACCCTCATTCTAATTGTCTTGGAGTGACTGAAAAACAGCAGAACTGCAGCTCTGTATTACTGCATTCGGAGCAGAGTGAAAAGGGAAACAGATGTTCACAATTGAGATTTTGAAAGAAAGCTCTTCGAGTGTTTGGATGGGTGGGGGGAAACCACAGAAATAACAACGCTCCAACTTCTGTACAAATGCAAAATAGTAAACAGGGCTTACGATCTGGAAAAGTAGAGTGTGGCTTTCAGACTAATGTGGGCTGTAATTCCTGTCAGCTGAGGTGTCCCTTCAGAGTTTCATTTGCAGTTATGTGTTTTGCAGAAGAACGTGTGCCTTCCAAAGCTGAAGTGCCAAGAAAACCGAGCCAGGAGAAAGTTACCACTGTTTCAGGTAATTAAAATCTTTCCTCTTCATTTTATGTATGCACTTTCTTTTTACCTTTATTTTCTTGTCTCTTCCCTTTGCTGTTTTAAAATAATGTTTTTATAGCTCTGTAAAGCTGTCTTTTTCACCTGGGTATTTGATGGCAGCAAAACTGCTTAGCACCACTTAGGATGCATGAAAACCACTTGAGAAGGATTTATAAAGTAAGCCAATTTATACAAGGTATTCCTTCCTGAATTACTTTGTAATGACTCAATTAGCTTTCGTTTCTGCACAAAGGAGATTTAGTTGCATAAATTAGCTTATCATCATTGAGGAAGTGTCACTGCTAAAGGACAGTTTATAGATACAACATGCAGTTGCTGTCAAACCTATAAGAATGTAATATAGACATCTGTGTATACTTTGTGCTTGAGCAGAACAGACTTCTGCCATTCAGAGACTAACAGGGGACAACAAGTTGCCCAAGGGACTGGCAATGTAGACGTCTCTGAAAAGGTCAACTTGACACAGGCTCTGACAATCGACCCAAAGCTCTGTCTTCTTTGATAAAAATCAGATAAACTTAAGACCACTAATTGATCTGCAGCCTGTTTAAATGTTGGCCATGCATATCTTCATTGCATATGATTACCACAGAAAGCAAATGAATTGGGTAAGAAATGCCAGAGTCCAGTGACAGCAGCATAAAAATTGGAAAAGGACACAAATGCCCAGAAAGGCTGTGAAGGATATTCTCTCAGCTTTAGCTGGCAAACTGCCCTTGTGCTAATTATCTCTGGGGCTGGAAAAATAACTGCATACACCATCTAAAGTCACATGGCCAGACAACTTTTCTTGACAGAAAGGTATTTCCAGTTATGCTTAAAAACAAGATATATATGTACTTCAAGGGCACAGACCTTTAGATAAACTATTGGTGATTTGACACAGCAAGTAGAGAAGACTTGCTTCTTATCAGACCTTACACCTTTTTGAGATCTGCTGCATTGTAACTGTGACCCGTGCTGACATGCAATCTGGCTCTCCTTCCCCCATCGTACATAATACACATAATTCTTTCAGGGCTGTCAAGGAAAGGGTGGGCGAGAAGAGTTCCTTTAGGAAGTAGCTCTGCAGTGCTCTTCCTGTTGCAGCATGTGGAGAGGAAACAGAGGCCTGATTTCCTGACCCATACAGGAAAGCAGGAACAGGTTGCTGTTAGGACTTTTGGGTTGCTTTTCTTGGAAAGGAAACGGGAGCCAAGTCATCAGATGCTGTTAGCATTGTGCTCTGCTAAAAACATGTGTAAAACAACATGACTCATTACAGCCTTAATATTTAGCACTCATTTAGACATTACCGTAATTATAAGAGTGTGTTGTCATAATGGAGCGTGGGGTCAATCCAATTATCAAGTTGCCAACAGCATTTTTTTTTCCTGCTAATGTATCTTCTTGAAGTTCTAAATGGTTGTACTTGTTAAGAAATCAAAACCTTAGCACCTTTATTTCTGAAAAGTTTCACCTGCTATGAGCACAGCCTTATCAGTCTTACTAGTATTTGTGCGATGTCCTTGAAAATACCATAACAGTTCTTCTCAGATATCAGATTAATTTCAAGCAATAATTTTCTGATCTGATCTTACTCAGTTAACTATTTTTAACACTGGAAATTTGTTTGACTTCTAGGGCTGAGTTGACATGAGTATTTCTGATAGGCATCACATCATAAATATCTAACCCGACTCAAGAATATTTCATGATTTTCCCCACAAACACCACATACATTCTTAAATTTAATTTATTGCCTAGCTTTATTAAACCTGAATTTCATAGAAAATATTCTTCAAATTGTCTGTGAGCTTAGCCTGACAAGTGCAAAAAACCCTTTTTTCCTACTCTTTTCTTGCCCTAACTTATCTCTACTTCAGTTAATGTGCAGACTTGAGTTCTTTTTATTCCTCTAGTCTTGATGCTGACTGTTGCTGCTGGATAGCTTTATGTTAATTACTAGTGACCTAATTATTTAAAAATACCAAAGGATTGAAGAGTTTCAACTATACAATATGGCTTGCTGGGTCTTTTTTGCTACCACTATCTACCCATTATCATTTCCACAATTTCAGTAAGTGTTATGTTCTATGCTGTCCCAGTGTAAATACCTTGATTTTGGAGTAACTAAGGAACAGGGGAAGGGAAGTGAGAAAGGTTAGACTGAACAGATTGGGCTAGATTAGAGATTGAGTCCAAATAAATACACTACAATTATTTTGTCCTTATTTCACAGTTTCTCTGGTATGTGGGAAAAGGGGCAAGTTAAGTAAGTTACAGGCATTCTTTGCAGTTAAGGACATCATCACAACAAAAAAATAACTGTGTTCTTTAATAGGTGATGTCTCATCTGGGCATTGAGACTCAACACTGAGAGTCTAAATCACTTGTGTAAGACAGAGTCATTCTGGTAGTGTTAATTTTGAACCTCACCTGTCTCTCCCATCTTTAAGCCTTCAGTATGGTAAATATTGAGAGTGTAATCACCAAAAGGGGTTACAGTTCATCTCTTTCAAATATTGTTAAGTAGCCCAGACTAGTAATCTTCAAATCTGATGCTATAAACTTTTGAAGATCTTCTGATCAAGAGTCAAGGAATATGAATCAGAATGGCAAACTGTTTAATATACTGAGCAGTGGGCCATGGGGGCGAAAGGAAAACACACAGACATATTCCTTCATTCCACAAGCAATGCATAACCAGGTAATAATACTAGCTCTAAGTTACTACCATAGTAGGGTTTGCTAATTTAGATGCCCTCAATGTTAGAATAGAAGATCGGTGGAAACTGGGCTAAGTCGCATTTATTCTAATGTTTTACATTTCCATAATTGGGGTGTAACTCCTGGTTTGGTTTTTTTTGGTTTTTGGTTTTTTTTTTTTTGTTTAAGTCTTCTGTCAGGTTTGTGCTCAGAAATGCCAAGTGCCAAAATTGTCACCAGGTAGGGGGCAGGAATGGAACAGCCTGCAGTTAGATTGGCTTAGGCTGCAATGAGACAGCACACTTAAATCCCTCTGAAATATGTACTCTTAATCTGTTTTTCCAGGTTTTGGTTTTTTCTGTTTATTGAGGCTGTTAGAATATTCTTATAATTTTTTTTTCCCCTTGAGTAATCCATGGGCATTCCTAAGTTTTAAACAGTCTACAATATTTGAAGTGCATGCTTGAGTAATATACTTGTCAGATTTTATTTACCTGAACTGTTCACCTTTCTTTCTTCAAGCATGTATTGTCAGGTGCCAGTATTTTTCAGTGAAATAAGCAGCCTGAGCCTACTGTCAGGAGGGCTGGCAGCCATTGCTGTTTGATCTGTCAAATAAACTCTGAAGTGTTTTCATATTGGACAAAAATACCTGTTGTTCCTATTACTGTTACTGGAAAAAACAGAGATGGCAGAAGAAAACCATGAGGAATTCTTTATGGAAGAGTTTTGGAAACTGTTGGATAGTTGTTCATCCAGATAGCTGTCTTGGAATGAAAGAAGTATTTCCTGGAGAAACAACCTATCTAAAATCCTGCTCAGACATTTCTTGTGATTGGTAATAAAAGCAGTGGGTAGGTGAAAACAAACTGCTTTCTACCCTCTGCTACACATTTATTTTTTTTTATCATGTCTTATGCATATTTGTGGCCTAAGTGACCATGCCTTTGAAATATGACTGACTTTAGTTTTGCCATTATGTTACCATATTTTTTTAAGGCACACAACGTTTCAGTGTATGAGAAGAGAGTGTAATTGTGACAGAGTAATGCCAGCAAATCAATACCTTTTGAATGTTAACTCTAATGGGCCCATAAGTTCTTGATGCTAAATCCACCAGCTGTTTTCAGGTATTACATGTGTTTAAGAAGCTCCACATAATTTCATTACCACATAAATACCAAATCCTTTACCCAGGTCTCCTGGTTTTGTTTTATTTGGTTCTTCAGAGGCAATCAAATGAAATTTGGCAGGGTCCTTTCCAACTGAAAGAGAGGCTGAAGTAAGAAAGAATGGGCTTGTGTTTTGCAGAGGTTTCTGCAGCTTTTTTTTGTTCTACCTCTGTGTTTGTGAAGCACTGTGAATAATTTTAGGAAGCTTTTTGCCCTTTAGATGTTTAGATTCTGAAGTTAAATTTATAATTGGCTTTTATGCATGTGTAGTTGCAGTTACAGAATTTGGAGAAGCTTGTGCTGGTGGGTGTGAGAGGGGATTTAGAATTTGAAATTAACACTTGTGAAAGACCATCATAGTTGTTCACAAACTTACACCAGCACTTTCTCTCCCTGTTTTCCATTTCTGTGCTCCTGGCATACTTGTATATGTTTTTCAGAGAAATGTGGCTTTCTAATTTAAACAACTCTGTCTTATGTTGAATTCACAAATGAGGGCACAGAGCCATGGTTAGTCTTTGGGCAACGTCTTCACTGTTGCAATGAGCTTATTTTAAAACACATCTATTCCAGTGTTGCTGTGTTATTCGTTGAGTTGCTTTCCCACTTAAGGCTTAATTAAATGCTCATGATGAACATCTAGGGAGAGATGTCTCACCCACTGTGGGATCTCTTCTGTTGCTGATGTTCCCCATGTAGCTCCTGTTAATGTTAACAGGCATTACTTCAGGCACATAAAACTAAGAACAGATCTCAAAGTGATAAAGGTCAGTGTGAAAAGTCATGATTAGTTTCAATGCAATTCTGAAGAAGTAGAAGTCCCGATTAATGTATTTTAAACCAAATCAATAAGACAACTGCTGAAAGTTTTGAAAGGTGGGATATAATGAAATAGCTCTTTTAGTTTTTTCTCACGTGGGCTTACATTATCTTTTACGAGATAGAGCTGGGAACTGTGATCAATGCAGTATCAAAAGACTGGCAAGAGATTCCAGTGTAATATTTATCACAAATTAATTTGGCGCTAACCTGTGTTACTGATTATAATTATCTAGTCCTAAATTGGTGAATAATGAGCTGACAAATAGGAAGGGCCAAAATTTGGAGGTGCAACATTTAAAACTGATTCCGCCTTCCTCTTGAAATCATTCTGTCTATGCATTTTACAATAGTAAAATCTCTTGTTTCTGAATGGTTGGGAGTTTTTATATATATGTATATATAGCTGATTTTGGTGTGATGACAGATGAATTTGTGCACTGGTAGTCAGAACGCCCCCTAGTGCCATATAGCAAAGTGGTAGCTACTAATCACCAGTTCATGGAAAATTAAATGGTGGCTAACTTGCACAGCAGCTTTGAATTCAAGGTTGTGAATATTTAGCCTTATGACAGTATTGCCATCAAAACAAGATAGCATAGAATACAGACTGAAGTGGATAAACAGAAAACAAGCTCTTCTTGCTCATACAGAGAGTATTCAAATTAAAATCTAAGCGTCTGTCAAAATAGGGAAAACCACAGGTTGAATACTGCTATTTTTTTTTATAGCGTGACCCTTTCTCTCACTTGATACTTGATATTTTAGCAGGATTTTTTCAGTAATAAAATGAACCAATCATGATTAAATTGTAAACTATAAATAATGGCATAGAGTGCTAACGACATGCAAATGTAACTGGTATATGTTGGAATAACCAGCAAGCCTGCTGTTCAAGGATCATATAACAAAACTAAGATGACAGCCTTGATCCAGCCAGTTCAGTGATATTTATGTTATCAGAATTAGAAGATAGCTTTCCAGTGATGTAAATTATTAGTACATATACATTCTGTCTGGTTAGTGTATACATAATGTAACCGGTCATCTTAGTGGTATTGCTTACATTCTTTTTGCATTAACTCATCCCACTCCATTCTCATGGAATTAAAAACAGGAAATAGTTTGCAGTGTAACAGAAGCACCCAGTGTATTTAACCGTGTGTAAGCACTGTGTTTCAATAGATGTACTCTGTATTGTAAGTGTATGACAAAGCATTTATTACTGTGTTATTGCCGTATTACAGAGCAAAGAGTGCTAAATAATCAATCAGTTAATGGTCTGTATGGCAGCTTGAACACAGCACATCCATTGTGCTTATGCTGTTAGAAGGATGAGTTTATGACTGTAGTGTAGTTGCATGTTTAGCCAGAGCTTAATGTCCTAAACTGGAGCTGACACAAATATTTTTAAAATGCAGCTTCAGCAACAGTTTCCAAGTTCTCCAATATTTCAGAAGGAACAATCAAGGATTATCTCAAAGGTTCTCAGAGAAGTTATTTACTTTTGTTGGAGCAGGAGAGGGAAGGGGGAGCGTATCACAAAATACTTACTTTGGCTTCCTTTCACAGATTATTAATTATATTCTAGCAATTTTATCAGTTTCAAGTTGAGATACAAATACGGCTTGCTAGAAATAGAGCGAAACTAGCTGCTTAAGTTGCAGCTGCAAAATGCTTTGAAAACCTGTAGCTACATGTCTTTGAGTGATACAACTTGCCAGTGAAGGACTCGCACATTAAACTTGGTTTCCACTTGCTTTTGTGGTATGAAGGAGCTGTTTCTAAAAAGAGGAGTAAGAAATGTGCACTAATAAATCGCTTTCTAGTATCTGGAGGTTGAAAGAGTAACTTCAATCCCTCAATCTTTCTCCTTTTCTAATTAGATGCTGCTCTCTGTGCAGAAGGCAAAAATACCGATTACGCCAATTTTTATCAAGGTTTGTGGGACTGCACAGGAGATGTACCTGATGAGTTGACATTTAAACGTGGTGACGTTATCTACATTCTCAGCAAGGTATGGCGTGCTACTGGGGCTACGTAGCTGTAAAAAGAGAGCCATGGCAGAAGGGCACATTCCCACAGTTCTATGGGGGGAAATTGGCACTCCCTTTCAGATCCTTTGTTTGCAGTCAGATATTCACTGCAATTAATTATTTTGTCAAATGAACTATAATCACATTTAAAACATAGCCGTGTAACAGGAATTAACTTAAAAGCATGTTTATTTACTTGTTAATTCTTGGCTACCATTTGTTAACTGATTTAGCGGGAGACAATGTGCTTTCTGCTTATAAAAGTTAACCTTGTAGAATTTTAAATGATCTTGTATGTTATGTTTTTTGTTTCCTGTTTTATATTCCTGACTGTGCTGATTCTGACTTTGTGGGCATCCTGGTACAGAAGATGGTTTGGTTTTTTGAACTGTACTTTCATCTTTGTATGTATATTGTAATTGTTCTGACAGCTCAGATTCCAAATTTGTTTGCTCTGACAGATATGGGCAATTTTTAATTTACTGCTTTCCCATTTGCAAAGCAAATGAGAAACAGAATTCCTCTTATCTAAAGTGATGATAAGCAGTGTAAGCATGAAATTTTATTCTACTTTAATGTTGGCTAATTTTCTTATTTTTCCTTACCCCCGCTCCCCCCCAACAAAACAAAAACGTCTCCTAAAATATCTCTCTCATGGTCCATTGAAGTCTACTTCTGAACAGTTCATCAAAGGAAATTTCTCTTTTCCCCACATATTAGAAAAAAGCTGAGCTTTTCAAGTTCTCATTGAAAAAGCCACCTTTTAAAATATATGTAGAATATATATCTCAGCTGTAATTGCTGTTCAGTATAATTAATGCCAAAGAGATTGTAGCTTATTGAAATACGCAAGTAGGTGCATGAAAGCTAAAGGCATCTGTTTGTCTTAGTTTCAAACTCTTCAGTTTTGTCACAGTTGCTTTAAATCTTCCATGATACCTTTAACTGCAATGTTTCCAGATAATAAATGTAACAGCTTCTGTTTAAATAAATTTAAGATTTATGGATAGAAAGATAGTCCTATATAAAAAGATAGAAGATATATTACTAATGGTAGTGTGACCATGTATGTCTTTTGAGGTATTTCATTGTCACTTAAAGTAATAACTGAATTGCATTACTAAAGGCCGGATAACACTCTCGGATTGGGCAGAATTTTAAGCAGTCACACAGCACTGAAGAACGGTACTAATTTAAAATAACCACCTCTTCCCCCTCTCCCTCCCCCAAAAAAGCCCATGAACAAATGGATTCCACTGTACGAGTTTGGCCTCTTCCTGGGTTGTGCTCTTCTGGTACAGTATGGGGACTAATAAAATCTTGATCTTCAGCTCGCAGGTGAAAAAAATGATTTGCTACTCCATTGCCAAAAGAGTGGGAAACTTGATTTAAAAAATGGAGCAGAATAGAAAAACAGTAGCTTAAGCTGTCCTCTGTATATCAACTGTCTTGTGGTCATGCCGTGATTAATCCATAATCGGTCCTTGAAACAGGCTTGCTGCTGCTCCAGATGTATAGGGCCTCTCTCTTTGGGAATGATTTCTACTCCAAAATACAGCCCAGAAAATTCAACCCTCTTTCGCTTAAAGATTGTTACAGCTTTTTCAGAAAAATGAGTGTTGGCCACTACTGTCAGCTCTGAATTTAGGGTCCTTGGAGGGGAAAGTGCCAGGGAATTATCCATCTTAACCCTCCACTTGATTCAGTTTCAAGGTCTGATCATTTACTAGCTCTTTGTCTGGTAAGTGAAAATATAACCAAAGGAAAAGTGAACCTAACTATCCTGAAGTGGGTCAAGACTTTTCTTCAAAAAATATTTCCTAATCCACTACATTAATACTTGGATTTTGTGGCAGTCGGCAGGAATCCTTGGCAATTTTTTAATTTTTTCACACCATCTAGTGGTTGAAAATGAGAGATGCAGGTACTGACAGGAGGCGATGTGTATGGATCCAAAATGGTGTCATAAATTCAGCTTCAGCTTGAACCTAGCTATGGCTTTATTGCCTTTCTATCATATCTCAGCCAGGTATGAACATTACTCTTGAAAATCACATTTTGCTGATAAGGAAGTAAGTACGGGTATAGCAGTATTATAGTAGGAAGGGTGAAGCATTAACAAAATATCGAGCATCTTTGTGCAACATATAATAGTTCTTTGTTTTACAACAAAATATAAATGTTATAGCTTGCTCTGACAAATGTGATAAGGTAGATATTTGTCTCGCCCAGCAATAATTATGCCAAAGCAATATATTTTTACCTGCTTTTCACATACCTTTATAGAAATGAGGGGAAAAGTGACTGTTTTGTTTCCAAGAAATGACATCATTAGTACAACAGAAGTAATTATGAACCAGTTTAGCAAATTTGGGCATTGATATAATTTAAGTAAAGCAAGAGGAGAAATATGTTACATGTAAGTTTCTAGGTGAATGCCTTTTAGAAGAATGAGCAAGGTTTCAGTTTGGCAATGTTTAATTCCTAAAATAGCTAAGCATTATTCAAAGACCAACTCCCCCCTAATTTGCTCTAAACTGAGTGTCAAAATTCAGTGTTAGTGCAATGAGCATGATTTGCATGCTTATACTCTGATAATACCAATACCTATGCCCAACTAGTGTAATTACTCTAAACCCCCATGTTTTCCTTGTTTTAAAGGTGCATTAAAAAAACTATTTTAGCTATTATCTAAATATTTACATCCATTGTGGCTTTTGTGTGGCAGGAGTCCTATGGGCTCTTACAAAAAAAATTCCAAAACTTTTTTCTATGGTTTTGTACCTTTGAGAGTTTCCTTCAAAAGTAGAGTTTTTAATCTGAGCAGAATTAGCAGAACTATTTCAATGGTACTTGTTAACTTTTCTTTATTTAAAAAAATAGTTAACTTTTCAGATTAATTGATCAATGTATCTGTACAGATAAATTCATACTGTTATAATTTTAATTTATAATATTCTTCAGTATTCAAGTGGCTTTTTTTAACTTACGCTATGAATGATGTGAACTTTCAGAAAGCTAGATACCACTCTTCTGCTATGCAGTAGAAAACATTTTATGGCTCTACTGATAGAGGGACTCATTAATAAGATTTCTTAGTTAATATTGACTTCTTAGTTAATATTGACTATTAGAAATGCAATACTTGGGCATCCTGTTTTCTAAAAGGATGATTGCTCTTAACTCCTGCTCATTTATAGGCTTGCCTTTGCTTTTAAGCCCATATGATAAATGGAGAAACAAACCCTGACATAACAATCCTTTTTATAAATCTTCCATAGCTGTACTCAAGAAATCAATTTCCAGAAACAAAGACAACTGTGAATGAAGGTAGCCCTATTTTATTTTATTTTATTTTAAGTTTGGCATGCGCAATTTATGCAAGTGCAACACTTGCAGTATTTGTTTGCTTTTGGTGCATGTTTTTTATTGGGAAATTCCATAGTTTCATCAGCCAAATCCAAGCAGTAATGGAAATTTACTTAGATGCTAACAGGCACCTGCTTGGTAGAATTAGTGACATTTCTTAACTTTTAAACTAATTTAATTCCCCTCTCATTTATATTTCTATTTGCAGTAAACCAACAAATAATACTTCAAAATCAGAAATTCTATCTCAAACTGGAATTCTCCTTCCCTGTTGTTATTTCAGTACATGCCAATGCAATATAATGCTGCTCACTCTGGTATTTATGTTTCATGGAAACCTCATCTATGACTTAACCCTTTGCTCTAGAATTTTCCATGAAAGTAGAGTGTTAACTTGGTATCTAGATTACCCTTTATTCAGCGGTTGCACGTTTCCAGTGTGGCAGACTTTTGTTCTTTCAATACAAGAAATGTCTGTTAAAATGCTCACATCTCAACCTGTATTTTTTGCTTAGTGAAAAGACAAAGAAAGAAATCTCCATAGCTCAGATTACTGCTTATGAAATAAAGTACAAGTTAACAGTGCAGCTGTTGCATAATCAGTGTGAGCATTTTGTACATTATCAGCATAATATTCATAAAATGTTTTTATTTGGTATTTTTCAAAAAGATGTAAAAGGCATACTAAAATCTTGAGTGGTTTTCTTTTTTTTTTTTCTTTTTTTTTTTTTTTGTCAGGCTATTTTCTGACTGATCATACCGAGATCCGTATTTAACAGTAATTTCTCTTTCCATGACCATACTGTCTAAGTCTACCTTAGCAAACAGGGAGTACCAATAACAGCAGATTTGCAGAGTGAAACACTTAGCGCTGAGGCACCGGCATCCACACCATGTGTTTTCAAAGGGGTTTGATGTCCAAAGAGGTCTAGCCTGGTTTGTGGAATGAGAACACGTTGGTGGTTGGAGCGCATTCAAGTGCTTCTTCCATTTTAGTTTCATCTGAAAGAAATGTAGCATGTGTGCTCTGAGACTGATGGCTCTGCAAAGTGAGCCAAGGTGGGGAAAGTGGGAGCATTGGGAGATTCGCTTGAGTGGGACGCTTCTGATCAAAAGTAAAATGCAGTACTAAGCCGTACGTTTCCTTCTTCTGGGTTGTTTAGGTATATTCCTTACAGGGGAAAAAAACAAAAAAGATACGTGGCTAAATATCAGATAAGACCAAAGGCCTTGAAATGGAAGGTTAGTTAAGCTAGGCTAACGCCAAGTGACTCTAGCTCTGTTGGTTTGCAAACTGATAATATGTAAGTATTTACCTACCTGATTAGAAAAAATTTTGGTATTGTGTCATCTAATGGAAAGCAAAATGGCCCTTGTATCATTCCAGGGTGTTTTCAGGGGCCAGTTTTGGTTTGGGATTCAGTCTGCTTACCCTGATTTATATTTGAACTCTTTAATTGGTGTCTATTTTGTCTCATGTCATTGCAGGAAATAAAACTTAATAATGCAACCATACAATAAATCTGAGGCTTATATTCTTAAAGATGACCATTTTATTGCTGTCTTAAAACAACTCTACTACCTGTGAAGAAGTCTCATTCGGTTATCTAAAACATTTGTCATTTTCTGCTTTTTAGAGAAAATGCTATTCTGTACCAAAAATGGTCCCTGGTTGATAGTGTATCATTCAGCAGTTACACCAAAGGAAGTTCTGAATTTTTTTTAGCTAGTCTGAATCTCCTGGATGAATTAGAGGCGTTTTAAAATATTACCTTGCTGAAATTGCCCCCCAGGATATTCTTCAAAAAAAATTTCTCCCTGCTTCCTGCAAATCCTTAGCTTGATAGGGGAGGCTACTTATTTTAACCCCAAACAAGGCTACAGATATGTTTTGCTTTTCAGTTTTAAAGTTTGCAGATCTTCAGCCTGTAAGTTAATATTACTTACAGCGCCACTGGAAGAGGGCAGGAGGAAAATCTTGAATTCACACAGTTCGGTTATTTTTTTTAAAATATCACTCCATTGTTTTCTTCAAGGCATTGAAACACAATGATGATTTTCAGCAACTCTTTTTTAAAAACAAAACAAAAAAACCTACCCCACAAACACAAAAACCATACCATATGTATTGAACAATAGGGACTAATTGCACAAGGACCAGATGTTCTCAACTTTTGCTGAAGTCAGTAGAAGTTAATATGGTGCAAAGCATCTGGAGATCCTCATTCATGCAGAGGATCTGTTCTAAAGGTAGAGACTGTTCTGGAAATCCTCTTGCATATAAACATTTTCTCATCTTGCATATCAAAATTCTCTTCTATAGAGAAGAGTACCAAAATCTTGGATTTAAAAGGTAGCTGTAAAAAACAGGTAGTGTATTTCTACCTACTGTGTTTTCCCCAAGTGCAAAAACTTTTATGATCAGTGTCTGATGGAGTCATGGATGCAGTGAAATTGGTGGGATGGGGACAAGGAGAAGCATCTGCTCACAGTGTGTTCAGTTGAGAGCATTTAAGGAGCCTGGAAACCCTGATGGGATTTTTCACTTCGGTTAATAAATTTCCACTGGGGGGAAAAAAAAAATACCCGCTCTCACAGACAGTGGAAACACAGAAGTGGCTTAGAAAGCATTTGGTCCTTTGCAAAGGTTGTGTTCTGTATTATTTGGCGTAATATGTTCTGCTGCCCTGGTGCTCGTCTTCCAAGGGTTGCGGTGGCCCCTTCCTCCCCCCTCACCCCCCGCCTAGCATTGCCTGGTATGGCAAATGTGCTCCCCGTCACATGGCGGAGCTGGGCCGTACACTTGTGCATTCTCCTCATGGTAGGGCAGCTGGATCTGGCCCTGCCCCCCTCTCCTGTCCCTCTGTTTGCCTTGGAGCAATTCATTTTGCAGTTATTGAATTTCTTTGGAGAGTTATTTTCATACAGCGAGCATCGCAGCACCTCTGGATCTTGATAGCATTTCTACATAAGGAGAAAGCAGCTTTGTGTTAGTAATTACCTAACATTGTCAGGAGCTGACTGCAGGCCTCTTTCTAGTGATAACAGAATAACCACATAATATAGCTTTATAGCACATGATTAATAGAAAATAATTACACATCCTACAAAGGGATGCAATATTTCTTATAAATTGACTACAATGGTTTCCTGTAGATTAAAGGACTCTTCATTATTTTATCAGTCCTTCTGAAGTATAGTCGCTTGCCTATGTTAGCGGTGATGTTAAGAGCTGAGTGCAGTGAGGGATACCAGATGGTAAACCCAGTGGTACCTGAGATCTGCAGCTGATGCTTGCAAAGGCACTGCGCTTCCCAACTCTTAAGAATTCGTATCAAACTCCTAACTGTATTCATATCCTTCTGCATATTAATCATTATTTCCCACAAACGTGGGCTTTGGACTTTTATTCCACACATCGTAAGCAGCGGTAATAGACATACGGACCTCACAACAGCAGTGTATTAATTAAATTATATCGCTATGAAGGAGTTTATAATTGATAACGTTGATAGAAACAGTACATCAATTAGGATTTTATATGTGACTTCAGGAAAGGACTGGGGGGGACTGCTTATCTGCCTGACTAGTAACCACGCTTGTGGTACTGAGGGCAGAAAGGAGTGGTTAGGAGTTTGAAGAGAAAAGTCTGTACTTTAATCAGTTTAAAAGGGAGTGCTATCTAATTATTCTAAAACCTGAGATTAAAGTTTTATATTCTTGGTAGCCAGGTATCTGCACCATATTTTTGTTCAGACTTCTATAGACTGCAGATAGTTTAATTGGGATTCATGTTGCTCTTGAGACCCATGCAAAGAATAGTAATGTAAAGTAAAAGCTTCTGTGTTGCAATATTGTCCGTATGCTGTAATGGTTCTAGTGAATCCTTAAATTAGTTTACTAGTCTGTTACATCAACATTCATTTCATCTTCTCACTTAGTTTCATGCCACAGCAGTAAGTGGTGTATTAGTAAGCAGCAAGCCCCAGAAAGTTTTCAAAACAGCAGCATGATTTAATTTTAATTTGAGGTATTGGAATTGTTTCTTTAGAAACAATTATTTCTAAGCTTATGTAGTGTTGCTAAGTGGAACATTTTCAATGGTTAATGTAGTCCACAAGCTCTTTCTATGCCATTTGTCATATGCAATTTAATGACCGTTTAACTAAGCCACTTCCCTCATTTCATGTATTGTTTGCTTTTTTGGCTGACGTCTAGCAAAACTTGCTTAATCACTCTTGTCAGTCACTTCATGAGTTCTATGTAACAGCTTAAAATCTTTTGTTGTTTTCTCTTGGAGAGATTTATTGCTGAGATTCCAGTAGTATACGTGAGTACTGCTCCTTTCAGCAATTTCCCACTTGAGTCTAGAAACCTAGTTTGTATATTTAAACAGCATATTGTGAGATAAAACATAGATTTTTTTTTTTTTTCTTTTTTTTAAAAGCAGTCTGATCTGGAACATTATAAACCTCAGCGTCAGGGTATTATTTAGCCTTTAAGGGTTTAGGGTGTTTTGTGTACACCCATGGGAAAGGTTGTGAGCGGTTCTTAACTTCTGTGTAGAGCAGTTTGCACTGAAGATCAGGTTCAGATACCTCTAGCCTTTCAGACCAGACCCATCCCCAGCAGTCTGTTCTGCAGTGGAATGTGGAAGAAGGTGGAATTATTTTTGCAGCTTTCTAGTTTGTTTATTTACATCATAAATGAAGGTTTTCCTGCTGCTTTTTATGTGGATTTTCTTTAAATCACGCTTACTGCAGTATTTTATGGATGCTGAGATAGTATCTTTTAAATCACCAATTCACTGTGAAGAGAGGGAAGAAAATGTTTAATTTAAGACTGGTGTTCAGCCTTCCACAATAAGAAAATATAAGATTGTGTGTGTGCCTGAATGCAAGCCAAAAAAAAAGAAAGCCTGGGCCCGCATGAAAGTGGGCCATCAACAGGGCTTCATCTTAGTTAAGCACGGGGAGAGCTGAGTACACTAAGCACCTCATAGGACCCTAGAGAACTCTCGACCAGGCCAAATATGCCAGCAGCAAATCATTATAGCTCGGGCTCTAATGAAACTCCATTAACCCTTAAGCTCCACTTGACTATTTATAACTGGAAAACTTTCTCTACAGTCCAAATAATAGCTTCATCTCAGTAGGACCATTATTTCAAAATCCTACAGCCTTTTGCTCTTCTCATCAGAAGAGCAGCATAGCAGGAAGCAGATGTTGCTTATCAGAAATATCTGTGTATTTTGTATTTTCCATGTTTGTTCCAAAGTGATTTCTATCTTACTAATCATTCCATTTTGAATGGGGTCTCTGTTTTAATAATGCTTCATTTGTAACTCAATATATGCGTGTGTGCAATTTCAGCTGTTACAATTTATTGAACCGCTGTTAGGATTGATCTTAAAATATTTACCTCATGGGAAAAAAATTAAATTTGGATGCCACAATACTCTTACTTGGTATTGCTTTTGGAAGATATTATTTCTTTAAACTATTATAATTCATTTTGTTTCATATTTATCTCACTAAGCCTAAACAAATTTCAAACAAAAGTACATTAGTCATCTGTCAGACATATGAGATCTGCCGTAGAATTTTCTGCAAGCCTAAAGCAATAGTAGACTTTGTCCGTAGAGATTATGTATTAGATATATAGTGTTCCCTTCACATTTGAGCAAAGTAGTATTTAAAAGAAATTGATTGTAAGTTTCTTAAGAGTTTAGCCTTGTGATACTGAAAGAATCCCTGCTGATTCTTATATGTCAACATTGCGCTATTAGATTTTAGTCACAAAGGTAAGATTTTTATATTTGTGGTGAATTCAGGATGGAGAGGTCAGCTATTTTTAGTAGGTGTTATAGAGTAGCGTGGCCGTAATTAAGAAATTTTCCTGAGTATGCCTGGCTTTTTTAAAATTTAGCTTCTGTCTTTGCCTAACTCTGCATGTGAATGCCTCTAACAAAAAGATAATAATGTTTTAATTTTCAGTTGAAATGATTATGACTGTATATAAGAGAAAGCATCCATAAGGAGTTGCATACAAAACTCTACTGCATTTATATCAGACTAAAGGTTAATATTGCATATTGTTTTCAATTAGGAGTACAATAGATTTGGCTGGTGGGTAGGAGAAATGAAGGGAACCATTGGCTTGGTGCCTAAAGCCTACATAATGGAGATGTATGATATTTGAGAGGCCTGGGTAAGTACATTTTAATCCAATCTTCTGTAATGGCTTATATGTTCCCTTGTTCTCTGTTTCATAAGTATTTCTTTCCTGGAACCTTTGTAGGAGTCCTGTTAACATAAAGATTACGGCAAAATATATTGAAGGTTCAATTAAGGCACTTTTTCTGGGATTCTAGATGAAATATTAAACCACAGTGTACAAAAGATGATGTATTTTATAACTATGTTCCTTTTCCAGGGTTTTGTTTTGAAAAACAAAATTGGTGTTCTTTCTAGTTAGTCTTGTTACTTTAGTAATATGTACGTATCTGCACAGAAAACTGTGGAAGGGGATAGATATTTGGGCTGGGCTTGATATGCATGTTTGAGGTTTTTTGGTTAGTGATGAACTTTCAACTTCCCTCTCCCTAATCAGGAGAAATCGGCGCTTGAAATCGAGTGGTGTGCAGCTGCAGTTTACAGACCCGGGCTCTGAAAGAAGAAGATTCTGCCGTACACGTTTTGTGGTTTCAGTGAATGTAGTCAGATCGTTGCCTTGTGTATATTAAACATTAAAAACTGCAATTGATCATAATTCTGCGGAAATGTTCTTCTTAGCCACCTTTTATAGAATTGTAATTTTAGGAAATGAAATAGATGGTAATTAACATATGGGGCACAAGCAGCCAAACAGTGCCTGTTGCTCTTTGCTTAAGCAGCAGTCTGTATAGCTGTAGGTTTGTGGTCTTTCAGGGAATTTGGCTGTGTTTTCCTGTTCCTCCGATGTAGAAAAATTAAGCTGAACTCCTAAAGTAGGAATCTATTACTCAGTTCATGCATGCACTAACCTCTTAATGCTCACTGTACGTTTTGTGCAGTTTCCTAGGAAAACGAAGGGAAATTTATGTGTAATATGGCAAGGCTTCAGGGTATTCTGCTTCCAAATGTTTTTGTGTTATGTTTTAGCCAATGATTTATTTTTCTCATATATTTCATGTTGTTATTGTTAATTAATATTTTGTTACCACAAAATGAAGGCTTGGCTCTTTTGCTGATGTAATAAATCAGCCTGTGTGGTAATACTTCCCTGATACTATTCTGACTTGGAGAAATGGATTACGTGAAAATTTGTAAAGAGATAATATATTAAACCCCACAATATTTGCTAAGTCAACATGAGCTAAATGGCAGGTAAGAACAATTTTTGTCTGTGGTAGCGTGAAATATTTTATCTGTACCTTACAGATAGATACTTTCACAGAGTCAAATCTGGGTACCTTGTTGGTATGTGGAATTTCTGATGCAAGTTGTGCAACAGACCTCTTCAGCTCTACGTGGGTTAATAACAGCTACCTGCAGTTGTAGTGTCAAACTCAGAACATTGTGGCTAAAAGCATCAGCTGAAACGTGAAGAAGTAAAATACACTAAAATACTCTCGCTTGCGGACAAGGGGCTGGGCGGGCAGAGCTAACACTTTAAATCCCTCTTGTTTTGGAGATGTGCTTTACTACTAGTGTGCAAGATCAACTTTTTTGAATCCTCCCACACACTTGATTTGTGAGACCCTTAATCTGCCAAAGAGGAAAGTCAAGCCAGTCTGCGAATTGTTGAGCCTGTGCAGGTCCCCTTGTAGTCGCTGGTGCTGTTTATGCTTCAGGCAGGCCCTGGAAACACTGCGGGTTAAAAGGTGACGTTAGTCTGAACTCAGAATTAGATCCTTTTGGTAAGCTAAGATGTTGTGCTTTATTTTCGCTAATGTACGGTACTGGATGGTGCGCAGGATTCTAATAGGAGTCAAACAGGGTACAGGGTTTTGCTGTAATTTTTTTAAAGAAGAGATAGTCATTGAAATTGATTCTGTGCGTTATCAGTGAAGCATTAAAATGATAGATTATAGTCTTCAGATCTTTTACTACTTTAATTTATCAAGCGTACTTGTGGATTGTGTACAGAATGTGAAGCGTTAATATCACGGCTGGAAAAGCTCCCTCTCTCTTGTTAGCGTGGCAGCAGAA